ACTTCACCATCGATGCCGATGAGGACAGTGTGAGTCCCCAGCTTGCTGGAGGCGGGTGGCCACGGTGTGGGAGTGGCCACCTTCCCTCTGGGAGCCACCCACAGCCACGGGGGCCTCTCTTGCAGCCCAGCACGGCTCTGTTCGAGGCCTGCTGCAGTGACCACATCCAGCCCTTTGACGACGAGGACGATGACATCTGGGAGGACAGGGACACACACTGTGCTACCCGGGTGACGGCCAGAGCCAGGTGGGCCCTGAGGCACTGAGAGGCCCCAGGACGCTGTGAGAGCACCCCCAGCCCTGCCTGGCCGTGATGCCCTGGGCCCACACAGCACCAGCTGGTGGCTGCTCCCACCACATGTCTCCCCACAGGTTTGGGGGCCCTCATGCCTCAGAGAGCTGCTCAGGGGATGGCCTGGCATCAGAAGGCCAGGATGGGAAGGAGGGCTCAGAAGCAGACAGCACCGTGGCCCAGGCAGGCACCCCTCCGGCCACTGCCCAGAAGGAAGGTCCCCAGGTGGAAGGGGGCCCAGGAGGTAGACACTGGGGCCAGGGCCTGGGCTGGGTCGGGACTCAGGAGCAGGTGGACTGGTGCCAGCCAGGGCTGCCATGGACCTGACACCCTCTGACCCGGGTGCAGTCACAGGCAGCCAGCATGGTCACAGCTGGTGGCTGTTGGTCTCCAGTCCTGTCGGGCAAGGCATGCGTGGGCCATATCTCTTGGGACCCTGTGGCTGCATCTGGCTGCACGGCTCTGAGGTCAGGTGGAGCTGGCCTGCTGGTCAGGAGGCCTGAACACTCATCTCCCGGCAGGTGCCACATGGATGGTGCTTGATGAGCCAGCAGACTCGGCAGTGCCAGCCCCAGGAGTGGGTTCCGGGCTGTGGACAACCAGCGCCCCCAGCGCCTTGGCTACAGAGGAGAAAGGCTGGGCCCAGTTCACGGACTTCCAGCCTATCTGCCGGTGAGGCGGGTGGAGGGGGGACTCTGGGGTGGCGCCTCCTGGGCGTTGGCTCAGCCTCTTCCTTCCGCAGCTTGGAGTCAGTGCCCGGGTGCAGCTCCCCGGGGGACACAGGGCACCGCAATTCAGGCCAGGGCCCGGAGAGAGCCCGTGAGTAGAAGCCACTCTGAGGGCACTGGAGCAGGAGAGGGGGCCCAGGTCTCCCTGCTGATGTTGGGTTTGCAGTCCACCCAGGGGAACAGTGTACCGTGTGCAGACGGGAGCCCCTAGTCCCAGGCGCCCACCCTGTGTGGCCCCTGGTGGCTGTCCCCCAGGCCTTGTGACCCCTTCTCAGTGGATCCCACGCTGGCTTCATGCCCACTCAGTGGCTTCCTGGGACCCGCTCAGTCCCTGGCCCTGAGCCCCTGCCAGACAGACTTGAAGCCCTTGGGTGTCAGAGCCCCAGGGAGGGACTTGGGGTCTGAGTGGGGCCCTCCCTCCGGAGGACAGTGCCTTCCTGCAGTTGCAAGGACATGGGTTTGCAGCCCCTCCATCCTCATGGACCTTGCTGGTCGCTGTCTTTCAGTCAGCCCAGCCTCCCCTTGTGTCTGGAACGTGTGTGTCCCCAGAAGGTCTCTCTCGGTGGCCTCCAGCAGCAAGAACGAGCAGAAGGTAGCTGGTGCCTGGGAGGCCAGCGGCATGGGTCCCAGCCGGGAGACCCTCCTGATACCCGTGTCAGCCCCCAGGTGTGCAGCACGCATGGGCACCTGGGAACCGGCCAACCCTGCTGCCCCAGAGGCCCCCATGACCCTGCGGCCGCCTCTGGGTCGGGGACAGCCGTTCATCACAGTGGAAGCTGGGGTGGGGGTGCTGCTTTCTCTGCGAGTGTCAGAGTAAAGCCAGGGTCCAGGTGTCCCACCCCAGGGGCTCAGGGTGGGCCAGCTCCCAACACACACAGGTCTCATTGGACTGAATGGCCAGGATTGCAGGCCTCTGGCCAGACTGAGCCACCATCCTGGGGTCTGGGGTCGTCCAGACATGTGTGTACCTCAATTGGCACCTTGGAAATGCCTGTCACACTTGGATAGTAGTACAGGGGTGTCTCAGGACCTCCCCTGGGTACATGGACCCTGATGGGGGGGGCACCCCTAGTATGGGCAGCCGCACACATGCCTCCAGGGGCAGGCAGGGGGCCTATGTCTCTGGGCCCCACTAGTGGACAGACCCTTTGGCTGGGCCATGAAGCTGGGGGATGGCCTGAGGAGCTGTGCGCTACAGAAACGGGGAGCCGGTGGCTAGGTGGGGGACGTGAGCTGGGAGGTGGTGCTGGAGGGACAGGGTGGTCCCCAGACAGACCCCGTGGCGGGCCAGCCTGGTTCCCCCATTCTGCCACCCATGGTGGTCCTGGAGGGTCCCTCAGGGTTTTGGAGCAGAGGGAGGCAGGGCTTAAAGGTGACACAGGGTTCCTGAAAGGGTTTAAGTCCTTAAAGTTTATACTCACAAATTATCATAACCTCTCCTCTGACCACCTGGGAAACCAAGTCTGCTCTGAAAGCAGGGGTGTCCATGAGTCCCTGCACTGTGCAGCTGGTCCTGCCTGTAGGTGCCCACCTGTGCCACCCTCGTTAACAATGGATTGGTGTCCAGGCATCTTGAGTGCTGTGGGCTTTATTGCGCACGCAGCGGAATGCCCTGTGTTCCAAGTACAGCCCCCTCGAGTTCCCGTGGGACCCTTCCTTATCTCCCACCATTACCCTTGCAGGCTTCCAGGGGTCTCTGAGGTCGGAGTAGCCATCATGTAGCAGACATGAGCCTGGGGCAAGAGTCAGCTGGGTGGGGCTGCTGCAGAGGTGCTGGCATCGAATACCAGCTCCCCTGCCCTCGCCTGCTCCAGGTGTGGTAGAGGGCAGTCTGGCCAGGCGTGGTCCAGAGTAGTGAGGTGTGACCAGGAGGGCCTGAGGAAAGCGTGTTCGGGAACAGGCGGCCAGGGCCGAGAGGGACTACATGTGGCTGGCAGCTTCTGGGTGAGGGCTCCCTGGAGGGCCTGAGGCCTCGGTGCTCAAGCAGGGTGTCTGGGGATCTTGGACCTTGGGATGGCAGAGCCATCAGATAACCGGACACAATGTCTGCCACACAGGGCTGAGGGCGCGGCCAGCACACTGTCAGACCCCACCTCCCCTGCACCCGCAGAAGTGGCCTCCACCCCAGCCACGGCAGCACTGAGCAGGGCCTTGGCAGTTCCCCCGGGGCCCAGAGCGGCTGTCAGCACTGCAGCCCCAGCCGTCAGCATAGCAGCCGCCCTGGGGACAGCGACGGGAGACAGGTGAGCAGGTCTGCCCAGGGACAGGGGCCCAAGCCTGGAGCAGCTTCAGCTGCCACCCCTCTTCCTGCAGGAGTGTGGACATGCCACCCCCCATCTCTGGCACCGCCCTCAACGGCCCCATGTGACAGTGCTGCCACCTGCCATGGCATGCGCCCTCCAAGGAACTACCTGGTGATGCCATTTTTAATTTAATTTAATTTTAAAATAAATGCTGCATTTTGCTGGCAGTTGGAACCAGTTGGACAACCCAGCCTGTAGCTCCTGAGACCCCAAGTGGGCTGAGCCCAGCTTCGTGTGCAGCAGCAAGGCCACAGACATGCACTCTGCCCGTGGGCGGGGCCGCGAGGAGGCACACGCCTTGGCTCCCACCCAGGGAGAGCTGCGTGCTTGAGCCTCGTGTCCAGCTGCAGCAAAGGTCCGGAGCCGGGCTGCCTAGTCTTGTCAGCCCAGTGGCCCTGGGAGTTGGCCTTGAGCCAGGCCTCAAAATTTGACTGCCTTAATATGCCCCCTGGCCTTGTGGGGGTGCCGGCCCATGACTTCAGTGGGCAGCTGGCATATCTGGTGGGCCAGTGCGGGCAGCTGGGAGGGGGTACACGGTGCAGAGATGGGCTTCAGCATCTGGGTGGTGGGGGGGCTATACCTGTGGGCTGCATTGTCCTGGAGGCACCCACAGGATTGAGTCCACCTTAATGTTCTGATAATCAGGGCACCCCAGAGCTCAAACTCCCCAATAAAAATAGTGTTATTCTTACTGAGAACCTGTGTCTTGTTAAGCTGCAGGCCCTGGAGCCCCAACCACACTGGGGGTATCCTCTGCTGTCCCAGGCCCACCCCTGGGCCACACGGAGCTCTGGGCTGCGCACAAGCTTGACCTGGAGCGCCTGCATACAGCGGAGCAGCCACTGCTGTCCCCGGAGGGCCACTGGTCCCCCTTGGAACAGCTTATGGCCACCTAGCCCCCCAGGAAACCAGGCAGGCGTGGGACCCCAGACCTGTGAGCTTTCTGGGTGCTGGGAACCTTGGTCCCACAGCCGTCCCTGTGGCCCAGGGAGGTACTAGAACTCAGCTCACCCATATCCACACCTGCGCTCACCTCACACCCGCCATGCTGCCAGCCCCTCTGACTGACTGGGAGCCAGTGGGGTGCCAGAGAGGCCCCCACCCCCCACCCCCTGCCTGCCCAGCACCTGTCGCAGGTGGGTCCTGGAGGTTTGAATGGGAAACGAGAGCAGTGAGCGTCACGCCCCACCCCCACCCCGCCAAGACCGGGCAGGGCCAAGGCAGGCCTGCGGGGAAAAGTTACCAGGATGGAGGTCATCAGGCCCCCGCGTAACACATGAACCCGCTCACGCAGCCCCCTGCCGCCCACGTCCTGGAGTGCCCTCACTCCCAGGGACCCCTCCCAGTCCTCCAACACACGACCCTCGTCTGACCCAGGACAGCAGCGCTGTAGCCACGCCCACCCTGCCCGTCTGCGCCCAGGGGTGCGTGAGGACTGCACTGCCGCCCTTCGTGACCTGCCCGAGCTCCTCACAGCGCACCCTCAGGAGACCTGCCCAGGGTGCCTGGGTGGCGATTCCTCTCCGGCTGTGCCAGCCCAAGACCACCTTGGGGGGCGTTGGCACCTAGGCACCAGGCAAGGCTGGATGAAGCCACCCCCAGGATAGTGGACTTCCTGACACATCAGCCCCTACCCGTGGGCTGGCTCTGGACAGAGTGGCTGAGGAGACGCAGGCATATGGCATATCGTGAGCTCTTTATAGACTCTGGTTCCAGGAACGGGCTGCCTGCGGCTGGCTGGGCGGGGGTGGACTATTTACAGGCCCATGCCAGGCTGTACCATGGCCACCTGCTGCCCTCAGCCAGAGTCCTGTAGAGCCGCGAGTGGGACAGGCGGGGGCTGTACACACACGTCTGGGGGTGGGGCCTCAATACTGTGAGGGCGGGGTCTGTAAACATGGCTGGGGCCCTGCCCACCCCTGGTGGTCTGGATTGGGCTGGGCACGGGGCGCCCGAGTGGCTGGGCTCAGGCATCCGACAGGCAGCCCTGGATCTGGTCCACCCACTGCTGGGCTGATGGCACGTCCTGGGCACAGAAGTTGTAAACACGACGCGTGGTCTTCACCTGGGGACGGCGGGTTGCTGAATCCACTGCCCCCCTCTACGGAGCCCCCACCCAGCCGTCTCCTGTGCCCCAGCCCCAGCTCACGTCAAAGAAGGCCTTCTCATCCACAGTTTTGGGGGCACCCATGGTGGGGGTGCCTGGCGCCACAGTCTCCACCTCGGCCAGGTCGATGACGCCCTTGCACTCGGTGTCCACGCGGTGGTCGTAGTAGCGCAGCTACGGGGGAGCAGGGCGTCAGAGTAGGGCCCTTGCTCCCCCCCGCCCCCGCCTGCTGCCCACTCACCTGGTGCTTGGTCTTGTCCAGCACGAACCAGCGGGCCTTCCAGGGCTTCATGAAGGCCCCCTTCTTGTACAGGGTGCCCTCGTAGGACCTACAGGGCCAGGGACACGCCATCCATCAGGGCCTGGCGAGGTCATGCCCCGGCAGTTGCCCCCACCATCAGCCCCACCTCGGCAACAAGACCAAGGCTCCTGCTTCCAAACTGACCCAGGGCTGGAGCCCTGGCCAGGGACCACAGAGAGAGCCTGGGACTGTCCCTGGAAAGGAGATAGAGAAGGGACCCCGGCCCTCCCATGACAAGACACCACGGAAGGTTCCAAACCAGTCTCAGGGTCTGAGGGCAGGTGCCCCCCGACGAGGACATATGGCAGGCAGGCCCAGGGAGGTGACTGTGGCAATGTGGTCCCTCCAGGCCTGGAGGGTGGGAGGCAGCCTGCCAGGCCTGGACTCAGGGGGAACCTGCATCAACCTCACCTGGCACCTGCCTGCCCTCACAAATACCCCCTGATCCTTGCCCCTCTGCAGACACATGGCCTGGCCATGGTCACTGGTCCTGCATCCCAAACCCCTTCCAAGCCAACCTGATGCTCCTCAGCAGCTGGCAGCTTAGACTCGGGCCACCACCCTGCCTTCCCTAAGAAACTCCCACAAATCCTCCCACTGAGACAATCACAAGCTGCCCAGAGGCACCTGGCCCCATCTGAGACCCGTCCAAGACTCCAGGCCCCCAGCTCAGAGGTGCTCCAGGGGAGTCCCACACCTGTTCTCACTCTCGGCGGTCTGGAACTGGCTGTACAGGGTGCTCGTGCTGCGGCGTGCGGCCTGGCGGGAGCCAGATGTGGTTGAGCCGCTGCTCTGGTCACTGTCCAAGCTGAGGCTCAGGGTGGAGCCCACGGGGCCCTCCTGCAGGTACACACCCAGCGAGCGGCGGTGGTGTGGCACGCTGGACACCAGCAGGGAACTGGGGGTGCCCTGGGGGCAGGAGGGTGGGCCTGTGTCAGGGCCAGGCAGCCTCCCCCTGCTGGCAGCTTCCCCCCCCACACACACACACACCCCACCTACCCCACTCACACGTCCCTCTGGCCGGCCTTCCAGGCGCTGTGCGGCCTTCACCCGATCCCAGGCATCCTTCCAGCGCTCGGGAGGGCGGCCCAGCTCCGTCTCCAGCCGCTGCAGCTCCTGGGGGAGAATCATGTCAACTACAACTACATGTCATGTCACTCAGAGGTTAACATCCAGGTGGAACGTGGAAAAGCAAAGGGTGGAAAACGCAGGCAAGGGAGACGGTGCACATGAGGTGCAGGCGGTGGTGAGGCAGCGGGTGGGAGGTGACAGTGGGAGATTCTGTGAAACAGATGAGAGGTAACAGAAGGCATAACCAGGGGACAGCAAGCACAGTCCCCAACAGGACAAGCAGACACACAGCCCCAGGAGAGGCGGGAAAGCTGCTGGGAAGCAAGCCCCCGGCCAGCCCCCAGGGAAGACATGCTCCCTGCAAAGCACAGGTGGACTCCGCTTCCAGCCACAGGGAGTCGGTCAGTCCTGCACTAGCCCTCCTGCCACGAGCAGCTGTGAAACTGGACGGGGGCAGGAAGCAAGTGAGGCTCCCTGGGACAGGGCCACACCAAGGAGCCCCACGCTCCCCAGCTTTTTGCCTGGTCGGGGGGGTGGGGGTGGGGGGATGGAGCCAAAGAGCACCAGGTCTTGTGAACCGAGGCGGCCGAGATGGGCTGCACGGGGCTGCTGGTGCACATGGAAGGGAGAGCAGCACGGGCAGGAGCTCTGGAGGCGTCCCTGAGTCTTTGACCAAATTAACTGCCGCGTGCAGGGAAAGGTATCCCAAGTCCTGGCAGAGAGCAGCTACTGAGCAGCTATGTGCTAAAACCAAACCCTGACGGCCATACAACGGGGAAGATGGAGAATTCCAAGCAGCCAGAATGGAGATGCACACCACCCCTAACATGTCTTCGGAGAAGGCGCCTCTAGACCTGGAAGGAGGGCTTCTCCAAAGCCCTTAACAAAAGCTTAGAAGCAACCCTTGAAAAGGTCAAGCTGACCCACAAGCTCATTACTGCCTCCAAGAATAAAACCCAAAACTCTTTCAAGACAACACAATCTTGACTCTCAATAATGCAGAATCCACAATTATACTTACAAAAAAATTATTAGACAAGAAAACAGGAAAATGAAATCCATACTTGGGGGGAAGGTTAAAAGAGAATCAGAAATGAAATAGGTATTGAGATCAGCAAACAGACTCAACAAAAAAAAGTTGTTATAAAAAGATGGACATAATGGTTGAGCAAATTGGGAATCTCTACAGAGAATGAAAACTACATGTAAAAAGGAACGAAATGGAAATTCTAAAGCCAAAAAACATCATTTAAAATGAAACTTCATTAGACAGGCTTAGAGCATATTAAAACAAGAAAGGGAAGGGCAGGGGACTTGACAGGTCCTGTAAAGGGGATCATCCAGATAAACTGCAGGGGGCAGATGGCAAGAAAAAGCAAACAGGGCCTTGGTGGCCTGAGGACAATGAAGTCTCGGAAGGAAGGAGGGAGAGACAGCAGAGAGACCTTTCGAAGAGTCAAAGAAACAATGGCCTATCATTTGAAAATGTACAGAATTTCTGCTCCTTTGAAAGTGACAAAAATAGCTACAACGGCATAACTGCAACTTAGCTAGGTATGAACACATGGCTGCACATTATCGTCAACACATACACATTTCTGTGAAATGATCTGGATTCTCTTACCAGAAAGTCACAACGTGAAACCGGGTTTGGCAAGAAGGGCCCCCACAGCGGAACTCACAGCCTTTCTCCCCTTCTTTAAGCAATTTGGTGTTCAATCTTCACTATAAAACCCATTAATAATTTCAGCTTTAAAAAAATCCAGGTGGTATATGGAAACCTTTTTAGATTTTTTCCTCAGATTTGTTCATGGAGATGTAATTCTATCAAAACACCTTATTTTGCCTTACATATACTTGTGGCATGGACACTGCTGCATTTAGAAATTTGGTACAATTTGTATCGTGTACCAAACTGATTTAAAGTAAATCTGCATGTTTACTGAATGGGGGAAAAAAAAGGCCTAAAATGTATTAAATTTGATGAAAACTATCATCCCATAGATTTAAGAAACCTAAAGATCTCTGAGCAGAATAAACTCAAAGAAAAACCACATTATGGTCAAACTGAGGAAACCAAAGATGTAGAGGAAATCTTAAAGGTGGTCAGAGGTGAAAAGGGCGACACTGCATACAGTTTACGAGGATAAGAACGAGCATCAACTTTTAATCAGAAACACTGCGAGCCAGGGAGCAATGAGGCGACAGCTTCAAACTGCTGCGTATGGATCGCCGTCAATTCTTCGTAGAATTCTACGTCCAATAAGAACGCCCTTTATAAAGGCTTACTGGACATGTTTCAGATGTTTTCAGGTCAGCAGAAGATGAGGAATGGGTCTCACCTCTTGGTGCGGTTCTCCCATGGTCTGCATCAGAGGCCACAGCCCTGGCTGCTGGGCTACCTGGGGCAGCTGGCCGCTGGAGTGCAGCCCTCTAGGCCACCCGGCTCCCACCCCCAAACCCTGGGGCCCTCGTCCCTCCTCCAGTCTCCACCCTGCTGGGTCCCGACTCCTGAGGCCAAGCAGACACGCCCACCAAGGATGGCAAACGGAGAGGGAGGCCCCAAACATGAAGCCCCGGGCTTCTGGGCCCACAGGCGCATCTCACCCTGAAGGGCGTGCGAGGCACAACCCAGAAGAGCCGCTGCTCACATGAGGTGGGTGGGGCAGGCTCTGGACCCGGACCACCACAAACCTCGGTGTGGCTGACAGCCAGGTACAGCCTGGTGGGGTGGGTGGGAGGCGGCAGCGTGGCAGAGGGGAGGAATGGACCCTAGGGAAAACTGTCTTCCCTTTGGGCCAACCCCACAGGTGGCCAGGGAAAGCACGTGTACCCAGAGCAAAGAGCCGTGTCCTGACATGTCTGAGAGCTGGGGGCTCATACAACAGCCTCTGGACATTACTGCCTGCAGACACACAGCCAGTGCCCTTCAGGGTCGCGGGGCCCACACCCCCCCCCACCCGCGGCGTCGGATGGGGAACTGTGCATACCTCCAGCAGGCGTGAGATGGCATCGGGCTGGGCCCGGGGGCGGCTGTCGTAGCATGGCCACACCACCCGGCGCCTGCTCTGGGGAGCGCCCCCATCAGGCCGTTCCTCCTCTGGGGGCTCAGGTGGCCCCTGGGCTAGCTCCCAGTCATAAGGGGGGCCCTCAGACAACGTCTCCTCAGTGTAGAAGTCCCACACCTTCAGGTTGGACACGTTGCTGTAGGGCCGCAGGACCTGGGGGATGGGGGACCTCGCATGAGCAGCTGGGCCAGGAGAAGCCTGCCTGCCCCGACCAGACCCCGGCTCACCTCAGCATCCTCGGGCGCATACATGTAGTTGTAGAACATGGGTGTCCTCTTACACAGCCGGTCCACATACTCCCACACGGACCTGCACGCCTGCGGGCCCCTGCGCTCCCCCTTCTCCTCATACAATAGCCCTGCAAGGGGCAGCACTGAGCCCCAGCCCAAGGCCACCCACTCCGACCCCTGTCCCTGACCGCCCATACCCAGCTCTATGCGTTCGTAATCCGAGTCGAGCAGAAAGGTCCGGAAGCGGCGGGATGCATGGTGGTAACCAAGGAACTTGAGGTAGAACTGGCTGAACTCGAACTCCATGGGAAACTGCAGGTGAACCTGTGTAGGTTCAGGGTTCAGGATTCAGAGGCCAGGGGCCAAAAGGCTTTAGGGACCCGCCTGGTCACTTGCTCACCTGGTACACACAGTCCAGGAACTGTAGGAAGACGGGCGTGAAGCCACTGCTCTGCCCAGCCAGGGTGTGGGCGCCACGGTGGCTGAATCGGTGGCCAAAGGACAGCCACTCCTTCTCCACCAGCAGACGGAAGCCCTCCAGGGTGCGGTAGAAGGGGTCCGAGAGCAGCTGCACGAGGGACACCACCTGCCGGTACTGCCAGCCCGTCAGGAGGGCGCCCAGGACACCTGGCCCCCCCGGCCCGCGGCCCTCCCCGTACCTGGGTGGTGATGTCCCAGCCGTCCTCCAGGCTCACCAGGACAGAGGAGCCCGAGGCCAGGAGCTCCACCACCAGCACCGAGACCTGCAGCAGCTTGTGGATCTGGGGAACCAGCTGCCCCTGAGCACCTCCTGGAGCCGGCACCCCAGCACCCAGCCAGGCCCTGAGACCCAGGTATGCAGCCGATGCACACGACCCACCCCAGCATGGCTCCTCCCACTCTCCCGACCCTCTAGGACCAGAGAGTACCCTGGTCCTTGAAATGCCCGGCCCCACCCTGGCAGTGAGCAGATGCCCTATTAGCCAGGCCTGGCGTCCCCTCAACTGCCCAGAGCCACCAGTAGCCAGTGGCGGCCACACGCTTGCAGGGTCCAACACAGCCAGATAGGCCACCCAAGACCCTATACATTTGACCTGGGGGGAAGGGGCCCAGGACGTAGGGGGTGCCCGGATGGCCCCTCCCTGCCTCTTCACCCACCCCCAGGCTGACCTAACCACGTGGGGGCAGGGTCAGTGCAGAGACCTGGACCAGCCACTCTGAGTCCTCCAGCGAGCGCAGGAAGGAGGCCGGACCGGGCTCGGCCGTGGGACAGCCAGGGACGCACGCCTTCAGCAGCTTCTTGAAGCTGGCCTTCACCTGCCGGGCCTCAAACACCTCGATGGGCACCAGCTCCCACTGCTGCAGGGGGTCTGGCCGCACGCCCTGAGGGATGCCACCATGGTCAGACACACCCAGGGCCAGGCCCCTCCTGCCCTGTGCACCCACCCTAGTTACCTTGAGCTGGGCTTTGTCCCCAATGATGTAGAGCGCTGCACGCTGGGGCCGAAGAAAGCCTGGGTCGGGGGGGGTCCCATTGGCCTGGGGGCCACCCAGCATGTCTCTGCTTGCTAGCCGGGAGCCAACATCAGTGCTGAGCCCACTGCTGCGCCCACTGGCCCGGACACTGCCCCATTTACCTGCACAGAAAACACCACGTGAGTGCCCGAGCAGGGCTAGGGTACCACTTACCTGGGGCTGAGCACCAGGGGCAGGGCTGGGAAGGTTGGTGGGACCCAGGAGGGGGCCTGTGCCTGCATTAGTGCTGGGGCTGGGGTGGGAATCCGGCATCAGGCTGTTAGTGCGTGCTCAGGGCTGTGGGGAGGGCTGGGTGATGCTGGCTGTGACAAGGGGCCGTTAGTGCCAGGTGTGGGGGGACGTTAGTGCCCACGACTACTCAGTCACATGGGGCCATCAGCACCAGGTGTGGGGGAGCCGGCCTGCATGGCCAGTACGGTACCTCGGGGTGCAGTCCGTCTGGAGGCCGAGGCCGCCATGGGGTTGGACAGCGTGGTGACCCTGGCTCGGGGGCTGGGCACTGGGGGGCACAGCAGAGAGAAGGCTCAGGCCTGGCCACAGGCCCGAGGGGGTGCCCAGCATTGGGGGGCCTGTGGCCCAAAGGCAACAGGTGTAGGACTGGGTTTCCACCAAGTTCCCCAGAGACCCTGGTGACAGCAGGGGTCAGCACCAAGTCTCTCTGGGCCACCAGGGGCAGGCCAGGGAACAGAGGGCCCAGCCGCACGCAGGCAGGACCACAGAAGAGGAGAAATCCTGGGAAGTCCTTCCAAGGTCTTCTCCTTGGCCTGCCCCTGTACCCTTGGCCCCCACAGCACCGCCCAGAGTGGTTCACAGCACGTGGCCACAGGTAGCCTCTGCCAAGCACACAGCTACAGGAGGGGCTCATGAGACACAGCCCAGAGAAAAGGAGCTCCTGGCCCAAAACGATACAAAGCCATTCAGCTGAGGCACAGGCAGGCCTGGTCCCCAGGGGTAGTGCCGGGCCAAGTGGTACTGCCTGCCTGCCAGGGCTAGGCCCAAGGCTCGCAGGCTAGGATAGCCCAGCCTGGAGGCACAGGGAGCCTGAGGGGGCAAGCTCCACAGTGGTCTCTGGGTTCCAGACCCTTTGCCCAGCCCTGTGGGGCTCACCTGCCTCCACAGAGGTGGCAGCAGGGCACTGTTCTGGGCCTGGCACAGCAGTCACCACGGACAAGCGCAGTGCCTGCCCACCACACTGTCACTCACTGCAAGGACACAGCATGTCCATGTCATGTGGACAGAACCTGGACTGGAACTGGGTACAGCTGAGGTGAGCTGAGCCTCCAGACACCCCTGGGCAATCCATGCCCTGAACTTGCAGGAGACAAGGAGGCAGCACCAATGGGCTTTGGGAATAAAGATGCCCAAAAACATTAGGGGCAGATACAGGCACTGGGGAACCAAAGATCCTGCAGGGAGGGCAGCACACAGAACTCTGGAGGGGGCGGAAGGCGGGAAGACAGGCAGCCTGCTTAGTGACAGGCTTTGTTGTCTAGAAAACCAAAAGCCACCAGAGCAAGGGGCCAGGTCTGCAGCTGCCCAGGACGGCACTGCAGGGAGCAGCCGTGACGGCAGATGCCCCGCCCTTGGTCCCCGTGCCCAAGGGAGAGCAGAGCCCTGTTGAGCATGAGCAGAGGTCTGTGGGGCACCAGGGCCCGTGCGAGGCCCCTCCTCAGGCCATGCCAGGGAGGGATGAAGACTCCTGTGGGCTCAGGAGCCACTGCAGCCAGAGCCACCGGGAGGCGCCGAGGAACAGGTGGCCTGCTTGGGCCAGGGCGGGGGCCGCTGGCCGTGGGGGATGGCATATCTGGGTGGTCAGCTCACTCACAGGCCTCAGCTAGGGAGGGCACGGTTTCAGGGATGAGACCCAGGCCCCACACCTGCCCGTGCAGCCCAGTGCAAGGGAGCTGAGGCAGGTGAGCATGGGTGTGGGCACAGGGACCAATGTGACACCTGTACCAGCCAGAGTGTGGAGAGGGTCTCAGAAAGGGGCCTCCCAGCTGGACGCTGTGACCACAGCTGCTGAGTACAGGCCAGGACTCGGGGTGGGGCAGATGGACCAGCATCTGGGCCACTGGCCAGGCTTCCCAGGCCCCTGCTTCCAGTGGGGAAGTGCGACCTCATAGCAGACAAATGCTGCCGGATACCAGGCCCTGAGCCCAGAGAACCAACATGGGCAAGACGGTAGCTGGAGTCGCAGGTCCAAGGACCAAGCCTCGAGGAGCCCTAGCATCTATCAGCCTGGCCAAGAGTCTAAGAGCCAGACAGGGCCAGAGCACCAGCGAGGGTCCAGGCAGGACTGACGGGGTCAGACAGGGACATAGGAGGGGGAATGGATCAGCTGGGGTAAGGCAGGGAGACAGGATGAAACCAGGAACGAGGCAGTGGGTCAGGCTGGGAAGATGGGAGGGGCAGGGATGGATGGGCCAGACGGAAGCAAAGTGCAGGCAGGAGTGGGCAGGCGAGGCACAGAGGCAGCTGCCCAGGAGGAGACCCCCAGAGGCCAACACAGCCTCTTCTCACATGCCCTCTGGGACCTCGCAAATCTGGAAGCCTCTCGCAGAGTGAGCACACGCATGGATCACCTCCCCAACCTGGGATCCTGGAGTCACCCAGACCACCCACCTCCGGGGGCCGCCCTACACAGGCATGCCAGCGGTGAGGGGCAAGGCTTGCTAATGGCCTCTGGTCTGGTGCCCCTCTGCGAGCTGGGATAACGGGACCCCACCCTGAAGGACGGCCAGAAAGGCACGGGTGCATGGGCAGGTCCCAAGGCTCTGGCAGCCAGGGCAGCGGGTCCAGCAAGCACAGAGGCCCATGTGAGGACAGGGACAGACACCCAGGGCAGAGAGGCCAATGGGTCAGAGGCCAGGCGGTAAGATGGCCAGGATGGGGTGGGCCATGGTGGTTGGGGGGTGCTGTGTCCGGTGCCTCAGAAGCCCGAGGCTGTGGGCAGGAAAGACATGGCAGCCAAGGAGCTCAGGGAGGCAGTAGGAGAGGACTGGTGAGGGCTGGGCCTCGGGACTTACCTGGTCTCACACTGGGCCCTCCCCTCAACCTGCACCCAACATTCTGCCCACTTGCCAGCCCTCCATGATGCTCTCACACCCCCAAATGTCCTCCCGCCCTGCAGTGCCCCTCACCATGGCTGCCCATGTGGGCCAAAGAGAAGCCGCTGAGGGTGTTCCGACCTGCAGCATCTGCGTAGCGGGGCATGGCGCTGACCACAGCCTGCAGGTACTTCTCCTGCTCCAAGCTGCTGGAGTCCGCCTGGGACTGGCCTGAGGGAGGAGGCAGAGCTCGAGCCAGGGGCGGGGAGGCAGACACGGCAGGGGGGCAGAGACAGTACCTGGAGAAGGCGCGTTTTGGGCCTTGAAGAGGCCGACGACACCCTTGCCGTGCAGGCCCCCTGAGCGCAGCAGCACAGCCTTGGAGCGCCCACTGCGCCAGCAGACCACGGGGAAGCGGTTCTGGCGGTAGCAACGGGAGACGCGCTGCAGGGCGTTGTCCTGGACACTCTGGGGGACGATCAGCAGCCCGGGGTAGCTGCGAGGGTGGACGTTTGAGGGTGAGGGGACGTGCAGGGCACAGGGAGCACCCCCACGTGCTCACAGGCCCAGCCTCCCAGAGCCCACCCCTGCTCACGCTGGTGGCCACGCTGCCCTCACCCTCCCAGTTCCCGCCAGCCAGCTTGAGCTCACCTGCGGCAGATGGCGTACATGCGGTTGACCGGGGAGACACGGAAGGGCTCAGACTTGGCGCGGCTCAGACTGCTGCTCAGCGTGCCCAGGCCCAGGCGCTGGTAGTCCCGGCAGCATGCCCGTTCCACCAGCCCACTCATGGTCATGCGGTCCGAGGGCTTCAGGGCCGAGGAAGGGGTCAGCGTGCTGGGCTCCAGCTCCTCCGAAACTGAGGCAGGACAGACGACACACAGGGTCATCGCCCACAGACCACTCAGACCCATGCCCTGCACACAAACCTCCGCCCAGACCACCCAGGGCTTCATCCACCCCCACCTGAGATCTCATCTTCCTGGTCCTCAGAGGGCGGCTGGCCCCGGTGCTCCCAGCTCGGGGGATTATACTTCTTCCGAGTGACATACTGACGCCCAATGGTCTTCTTGGCGTTTTTCACGAGGTTCCGAGAAAGAGTCCTGCCGGGAGGTAGGTGCGGGGTCAGCTAAGAAAAGCGTGGGCCCTGCACACAGTTCTGGGCAGTGCAGTGGGGGCCAAGCGCTCTGGTCCACACCTAAGGGAGGGACCCTTGTCCTTGGCAGTGCGGGGTGGCCGGCCAACTGTGTGGGTGGAGCCCAGGGTGAAGGCGAAGGTGCCCCTGAGGTCTGGCGGGTAGCGCAACTTCTGCAGCTGCTTCCGGAAGAGCTCAGCGCTGTCAGACCCCACCTCCTCGTCGAAGGCCATCTTCAGCAGCTGCGCCAGACACAGAACGTCAGAGATCCCTGGGCGCTGGCAGCCTATGGGATGCCCCATGCCGTGTCCCCAGAGCTGAGGCATAACTAACAGGATGGAGGCAGGCCCGCTGTGGGGTTCTCCGCAGAGCCATCACACCCAGGGCTGGTGAGGTATGTCCTGCTACAGGGGCATCAGGAGCAAGTAGGCACATGGACAGAGCTGCCCGCCACACTGCATGTGCCTGTGAGGCCGAGGAACTCAGTCTTTGTTTACGTTTGGGTTGTGCTGGGCTCACACAACAGTCCAGACATGGACTGAGCTGGGGCTCCACAAAGGAAGGGGAAAGCCCCGAAGGCCACACGTCACAGGCAGGTGACCCACAGCTCAAGCACCATGCCTACCCTGGAAACTCACAGATGCCCCAGGGAGACCCAGCCTGATGTGGCCTGTAAACACAGGGTGGGGGCCTGGATGCCTGCAGCGCCCATCCCCACCAACCTGGAATGTGCAGGAGCGTAGCTGCAGCCCGTCCTGTAGGAGTTGGTCTGTGGGGGTCTGGACGCTGACTCGCTTCTCCTTGGTGAGTGCAGCCACAGGGAAGGAGCGGACCACCACCTGTTCCCCCACTTACAGCAGGCCAGGCACAGAGTTAGGGGAAGGAGGGGAGGGTCAAAGAAACCCAGGGTACCAGAGCCACAGGTGCAGGGAGAGACAAGAAGAACCCAACTCGCCCTGAGGACCCAGGCAGAGGGCAGGGGAGGGAGGGTAGGACAGGAGGGTCTAAGGGCTCACCCAGCGGGTCGGTGGGCATCCCTGTGAAGATGACCCGGTAGGTGGTGAGGAAGATGGCACCCTCGGCTGGCAGCAGTGCGGGCCCCCCACCGCTACCGCCTGCGCCCCCCTCACGTCCATCCGGCAGCAGGCAGACACGCAGGCCATCCAGCACACACTCCTCGCCAGGCAGAAGGCGTGGCCGCAGCAGCTTGGGCTGCTCAGGGACAGAAGCAATCTCAGGACACAGCCCGGGCCCTGGTGCCCACAGCCCGGCCATCCTGCTCACCTTCTGGATGGGAGGCAGCCTTCTGCTCTCTCGGTGTACGGCCTCCAGGGTCTCAACGTGCATCTGGACGATGTCTGGGAGAGAGCAGTTCTCATGGCCTGGGCACTGACCCGCCGGGCAGGGCAGTGTTCACACACCCGGCCCCTATACCTGGCACCATGACGTGCAGCCCCTTGAGGTGGTCGCTGGTGACCCCACTCTCTGTGCAGACCTTGTCTACGAAGCGGTTGATGAAGCGGACCACGGCACCGGCCACATCACTGGTCTCCGAGTCTTCAAAACCACTTTCTGTGTCATAGCTCTCCGCCACACTGCCCGCCATGCTGGGCCGGGAAGGGGGCACAGTGGGCACAGGCCCGCTTCCCCTACCCCCAGGCCATCCCACCCTCCAAGCCCATGGCCTGCCCACCTGCTGGTGACCAGGCTGTTGCTGACGCTCTCCAGGTCACCCAGCCCCGCGCGCTCCCGCAGCAGCCGGCTTCTGCTGCTGTCCAGGGGCAGCAGCAGGTAGCTCATGCGGCTGGCGTAGTGGATGGCCTGGCTGAACACCGTGCTCTCCTCCTTCTGCACCAGCTCCTGCTGCTTCTCGCGGCTCAGGGTCGGCCACAGGCGCTGCTGCTCAGATGCCACGTCCAGGGCAGAGCGCTCGTCCTGTGCAGGCGCTTCTCCTCCCTGCCGTGGGGCCACAGGTGAGCCGGGGCCATGCCAGTCCCCGTCCTCCTGGGCCCAGGGTGTCCCCGCACACCTGTGAGGGGTCTTGGTCCTCGGCAGGCTCCAGGTAGAGGGCCCGGATGTGGGTCTGAACGTCTGCGTAGAACATCGCCTCCCAGAACTGCGGTGTGCTCCACACCACGTGCTCCTGCACGCAGCTGTATGCAAACTGCGTCACCCCCGGGCTCAGCTTCTGCAGAAGCCAGGTGGGAGTCACCAGGTGTGGCAGAAGGGCTGGGGGAGGGTCCCGGGCTACCCCAGCACTCACCCGGCAGAAGGCCGTGGCCAGGGGCAGCAGAGCAGCTGCGATGCCGTGCTCGTCCAGGGAGGTGCAATCCTAAGGCAGAGCCGTGAGCCCGTCGGGGCCTCCTGGGCCCCTCATGCCCCACCTGGTGTTGCCGCCGGAGAGGAGCCTCCCACCATCACCCACGAGCTGTCTGCACCAGCTCCGGCGAGGGGCTCCCACACCATGCCATAGACCAGTTGTCAAAGGTGCCGGGAGGCGCCCCTCTGTGGGTGGACTAGGGAGCCCCTGCCCACCCTGACCCCTGCCACACACACCTGCAGGCAGCAGTTCATCATACGGACGACAAAGTCAAACTGCCGGTGGTCCAGGACCGCCCGGTTCTGCTGCACGTGCAGGTGCAGCTCCTGGGCGAGGCAGCGGCGGGCCGCTCGCCCCTTCAGGGCCCTCAGCACGGCTGGGAGCAGCTGGGGACAGGGAGAAACAGGGTGGAGGGCTCAGGCCTGCGTGCGGGCCATGTGACCTGCCTGGAGTAGCAGGAGGGAGGCGCAGGGAAGGCCCCAGCTCACAGCCAGTGGGGACATAGGGATGCTGGAGCCCAGGCTCTAAGCACCCAGGGAAGGGGAACCCAGACTCCAGGGCTTTACTGCCCTGCAGAAGCTGCCACCGCTGGCAGACACAGCCCTCCACTCACATGAACACTCACAGAGACGGACACCGCACGCTCACAAGCCAGCGTGCAGACATGCTCTGGGACAAGGCCCCATGGCCCTGAGCTCCAGCACCCGCTGGCTCAAGGCTTCAGCCCCTTGGCCAGCCAGGGCCAGGGGCCAGAAAACACAAATCTAACGCAGAGCCGGCAGCTGGCTCGGTGTCCAGCAGGCCGCACGTCTGTTCTGCTGTTCACTGTGAAACAGCTGGGGGGCCCACAGGCCCCTGTCAGGGGTGGTGGAAGAACTGGGTGCCTCACAGGGGCCCACACAGCCAGAAAATGCAACAGACCCCACGGTACTAGTGAGTACCACATGGCAAGACTCTAAGCGGTTTCTAGTTTCTACGAATTAAAGAAATCACACACATGGGCCTGCACGTGTTTCTGTGGAGGATGAAGGAGAAACTTAGAAAAAACCCTCACAGTGTTGTGATGTCTAAAAGTTGAAGTAAATACACGTCATTGAGCCTCCCCAGCAGGCCCTGCCTGGCTGTGCTGAGCAGGGGACCCGAGACCCGGCATCCGCCTGCCCTTCCTGCCAGCCCACCTCCCTCCAGCTGCTGGCAGAGGAACAAGGCCAGGGCTCCTCCGAGGAGGCTCTCCTGCACCAGAGCTGTGCCTGGCCACCCTCACCTTCTTGGCTTCGAGCATCTTCCCCTCGAACACATAGGAGATGCAGTTTCGAACCACCTCAAGCCGGCGTGCACTGTTGCCATGGAGCCCACTGCTCCGCTCCAGGATAGCAGCTGGGGAGCGGATAGCATCAACGCCTCTGACCTCGTGCCCACCCCGGGCCGCACCCAGGGCCCTCCCTCCCTGTCACGCACTCATGGGGGGCCCCGAGGGCACGCTGGTCCTCCTCTCAGCCTTCACCGTGGGGGGCGCGCCCTGCATCTTGGCTGTGGCCTGGTCCACGATCCACTGCACCATGCTCTCGTCCAGCCGGGGGAATGGCCGGGATGCCTGCTGCAGGTGACTGGCCTCCCCTGGCCTCTGGACCTTATGCATGGACACGGCAGGGTATGGGTTCTCCTGGGGGGACACAGGCAGGCGTGGACAGGTGGCACGGCACAGTGACCTCAGTAGGTCAGCCCACCCGCTTGCATTCCCTGCCATACGTTCTTATAGAGCTGTTCCGCCAATTCCTTGACATGACGCAGGACTCGCTGGGGGTGGTTCTCTTCTGCCCGCATCCGTGCTACCTCGTGGGCCACCAGCTAGGGGAAGAGGCATGATCAGATGGGCTGGCCAGGACAGAGAGAGGGGGGCAGGGGTTCCTCCCAACTGGGGGGTGTGCACCTCATCAAACAGGTCCGTGGGGCGGTAGGGGACTCCACGCTCCGACACAAAGCCTGCAAAGGCCATGCCCTCCAGCACCTTCATCAGGAAGTCGTCCTCCACCAGCCCGCGCTGGCCCAGGAAGGCTGCCTGGGGCATACCAGGAGGTCAGCCCCGCTGGCTCTGTCCCACCTGCCTGCCTCCAGCCAGCCCCGCCGGGCAGCCTACCTTGTGGAAGCGGATGACGGGCTCGGGGTGGACACGGACCATGTGCAGACACCAGCGGTAGCCCTGCAGGAGCTGAGCAAAGAGCCGCAGGAAGACGGCACGCAGTTCCTTGTCCTGGGCACGGCAATGCAGGTGAGTGCCAGGCCCTGCAGACAGCCTTCCACCCAACCTGCCCATCCACATCCTGCCAGGCCTCCTGGGCACTTGGCCCACTCCTGCACCCCTACTCTCTTCCTCCACATAAAGCCACAACAGCCCCCTAAGACTCGGTACTAACCACCCACCCTGCACAGGACCCCCAGAGGCTTGCACACCCTCCACAGTCCCCGGGACCAGCCCAGAAGGGGCAGCCTCACAGCATGCCTGGCACTGCTAGCTGGCCATCAGACCAAAGGAGAGGGCACAGGGCTGGTGGGGGCGGCAAGTCCCCTGCACCAGAGCTGCCATGAGCCCCACCTGTATATTCAGTGAGGAAGCAGGCATTGTGGGTGGTGGGAAGGCAAGATCTGCCAACTCCAGCTCTGGATCCAGGACCTGCAGGGGCAGAGGGAGCAGGGGCAGTGGCGTACCAGCCCAGGTCTGGGGTCCCCTTGCTGCCAAGGGACCCTGCCTGGCTCTCCCCGAGGCCTCACCATGCTCAGAACACTGTGTGTCTGACTCTGCAGCGGCTCTGGCAGGGGTGGAATGTGCACACATTCGGGGATGGTCACCGTCCCTCCATCCAGATCAGCAACAATCACGTCCAGCTGGGGGCCGAGGGAACGCACGGTCAGGGATGTACAGGCCAGAGAGCAGGGCGTGGAGCAGCGAGGAGCACACGGCAGGGCCCTCACCAGCTCCTGGGTCTCTGCCTGGAAAGCAGCGTTGACGCCGATGATGAAGGGCGTGGGAGTGCTGAGGACCTCCAGGAGCTGCGCCGGCAGGATGGGCACGTAGGTGAAGCTGCAACAGGCCTGGACTCAGCACAGCAAGCCCCACGAGGACAAGGCAGGCCAGGGGCCTGGGGGCAGTGGGGCCAGGAGGGGCACCTGTATCTGAGAGGGAAGAGCAGGGCCAAGAGTCCTCGGCAAGCGTCGGAGAGCCTCTGGTAGCTGCGAGACAGGAAGAGCACCTTGTGCTCCGTGAGGGCGGCACAGAACAGAGACAGCACGTTGGTGATGCCTGCAGGGAGAGGACAGGCTTGGAGGCACCTGCCTGAGACAGGCAGGACCTCGACCTCTGACCACCAGCCCCTGGGGACAGGAGAGGGAGGGCTGTGCAGGGGCTGACGGCAGGCTCACCCAGCTGGCGGAAGAGCAGGGCCACACTGCAGCGGCTGACAGGCAGCGAGTCAGCCAGCGGGGTCTGAATGACCTGCCGGTCACCAGCCCCCAGCGAGATGGTTCTCTGCGGGAAAGAGAGACACCAGTGCTCACTGTGCCAGCCAGCCCCACAGCAGCCCATAGCTCCGTGGCCTCAGAAGGCCTGGTGGACTGACAGACCCCAGATGGGCTGTCCAGGACAGGCAGCACCCAAGGGACCAGGCATGCCTGGCCTCTGCCGGCCTGAGCAGTGCTGCAGAGAAAGCTCAGGGCCTCTGACCTGGGGCAGGGACGGGGCCTGGGTGGGCAGAAGAAACAAAGAATCCGTACCACTCCGTCCTCAACAGAGTCCAGCTGCACAGGACAGACGGGCAGAGAGACACGGTTAGACACACCCACACGTGGGGGCATGGGCCAGGGGCAGACAGACAAGCTGACACCAACATCCAGAAATAGGCACATCCAACGACCAAAGGGACAGAGAAACTGAAGGAAGGCAGGTACAGAGCCAGGCGAGACCCAGGAGACACAGGGGAGCAGGCAGGGCCAGGAAGGGTGACAGGTGTGTCTGCAGCACCAGACGCAGGAGAGTTTGCGGCCTGGGGCCATGCTCAGGCCAGACCAGACCCCACCCCACAGCCTCACACTGGGGGACATGTGGCTGCAGATGCACAGCACCTGCCTCTAGACCCACCTGGGAGCCCCCAGCCAGGGGGATGATGCACGTAAGCAGGTTCCCAATGACGTTCTCCAGGCCCACGCTCAGGCCCTCCACATGGATGGTGTAGATGAGACCCAGGCTGTTCTGCAAGGACCGCACACAGGCTTGGTGACAGCCAGCAGGAGGAGCCCACGTCCTGCCTCATGGCCTGGCTGCCCACCTCACCCTGAACACCTCCACGTGGTCCAGTCGAGACACCAGCACCAGTGTCTTTGGTGCAAACAGTCGGCCAGACGGATGAGGCACCGAGGGGGACAGTCGCAGAGGATCCCCCTCGTCCACTTCCTCCTCCCTCTCAGCAGTGTCCTCGGCGCAGGCCGCTTCCTGTGGACAGAAGCCCCATTCGCCCGGCGCTCAGGCACATCCCACCAGCCCAGGAGGACGTGGCTGACTTGGAAAGGACCTCTCCTGGGATCCCAGCCTCGCAGGGCTGGGGTCCCAGACCAGCATAGCTGGGGAGATGCAAGGGGGTCAGCCATGACCAGAGGCTCAGCCCCGGGCAGGCTGTATCCCAAGCCTCCCAGCTGACCTGTGTGGGATCTGCCGGCTCCCAGAAGGTCAAGCAGGCGCAGTAGTGCCTCTCGGAGTTGATGTCAGTGAGAACAGCAACAAAGAAGGTTGGTGGGTTCCTCTCAGGACACAGCTGCCACCCACTGGGCTGGCAAAACTGCAGGGAAGGAGGGGTCCGGGGTCAGCAGCAGCTCCCTGTGGCCCTGCCCTTGAGCTCCTGCACAGCAGGCAGCACCTTGCCCTATGACCTGGGCCTCAGCACCCCCGTGAAAGGGAGTGACCACCTCGGCCTCACTGTGGGGCAAGGGCCCTGTGACACAGGACATGGTCCTCGCTGTGACATGGGCACCAAGCACCCTGCCAGACAAGCGAGACACCCCTTCCCCCACCTCAGCTCAGGGATCTCACACCCAGTGGGGGCCGGGCACCACAGAGGTGCCTCAGTCCTGGAGGACCAAGTGCCAGCTACTGCTGGGCCCCCACAAAGCACCCCCAACTTACCAGCTCGATGCCCTGGGGGAACGGGTTGTCCTCCCAGTCCTTCTCTGGGAAGCGCTGCAGGATCTGGCCCTGGCCTTCCCCACTCCCTGAGGACGGGAGCAGATGGTCAGGGTACCTACCACCTCCCACACCTGCACCCAGCTGGCCTCAGAGGTCTCAGATGGATACATCACACCCACCCTCGCCTCATCTGGCACCAAGCCTCGTTTCCCTAAGAACAGTCCTGCAAGGAGGGGTCGTGAGGCAGCCCCAGACCCCAGGGACCCTGGAGAGCACAGAGAAGAGCCCCTTTGGCTGGGCCTGGCACCAAGAGCAAGGAAACCCCAAACCAGGGCCCTCCCTACTCCCACCCCACCCCATGGTGGGAATGCCCCAGCCAGAACCCACCTCCAGCCTGCAGCATAGCCAGCCAGCACGGGCCCCTCCACTGGGAGCGAGTGGCTCTGCACCGCCCCACAGCCACCCAGCTCGGGCACTCGGCCCAACTGCCCAGCCTGGTAGCCGGTGAGCTCCACCAGCACAGTGGGCACCACACTCGGTGCCTGGCCCAGCACGGGGCCCAGAATGTAGCCAGCAGGACCCAGAGATGGGTGGCAGTGGGCAGGATGGGTAGGGACCTCGTTTCAGGACACCCACTGAAGGAGTGGGCCCAAGTGCTGGGGACCAGTAACTCTGAGAAGTAGGGAATGGGGGGCTCCCTGCAGGCCGCTGTGCACACAGCCCCTGACCAGGACTGCCAAGAGCAGCACTGGGTTCACTGGGCCAGGGACGGGTGCTGGAGTGTGGGGGGCGGGAGGTTCATGTCCCTGCACATGCCCAGGGCACACTGCATCCCCACGGGCTAGCCCCCAGTGTGTGTGTTCCCTCCATTCCTTGGAACCCATCACACCGGGTCCCCTCTGATCCCCTTCCCTACCCCACTGGGGCACCGCTCCCAGTCCACACGGGCAGGGCCTCTGACTCACCCCTACAGAGGCAAACCAAGAGGACTGTGTTGGGGCCCCAGTCACCTTGCAGGGCCTGTGCAGCAAGGACACGGGTCCCTGCTCTTCCTCTAGCTGCCACCCAGCACAGCAGCAGGGCAAGGCAGGCAAGACAAAAGCCTCCCCACCCTTACCTCCCAAGCCAGACCCAGGTCCCCAGGCACAGAGGTCCCCACCCTCTGCTCAGACCAGCCTCAGCACTGCTGCCCACACCCCCACACACGGCAGGAAAGCAGGGCAGACAGGGAAGGGGAGTGCACGCAGCAAGAACCCCTTGGAGGGCCTGCCCCAAAGCCCAGGAGGCCACTGTGCAGCCTCCGAGGGTCTGCCAGACACAGCCCCGCGTCCAGCACAGCTGGGCCATCGTGACCTGAACCAGCCCAGGAGCTTCAGACAGAGCTGGGGCCCAGACACAGGCCTGGACCCACGGGCACTGGCAAACACCCCAGCAGCCTGACAACACCAGTTCCCCAGGCCCCCTGAAGGCAGAGCAGTGGGGCTGCGGTCTCAGGAGACCACCCACCCTCCTGACCCATGAGGAAGGCAAGGAGGTCAGAGCAGCAGGCAGGTCGCTGGCGGCTGCTGTGGTGGGGAGGGGGTGGGCGGGGGGCATGACTGACTCACAAAACCTCAGCTTCCTGCTCCCCCCCTCCGCCCACCACAGACACCCTGAGGAGAGGCGGCAGACGGGGAAAGAGGGACGGGTGTCTGCTGCTACCAGGGCTGCTACACTTGAGCACCCACATGGCCCACCAAGACCCCCCCCAGGGTCTCCTGCACAGGCCTGGCTAGCGAACCCTGAGCAGTGGGTCTGCCCCCGAGGGCTGATGTGTAGGCAGCCCCAAACAACTATGTGGGCCCAAGCCTGGCTGGCACACAGGGCTCACCCAGTTCTTGCCACGAGGAAGCAAGTGGAGGAAGGAAGAGGGGTGTGTACGGGTGGGGACAGCAGCCTCTGCCCCACAGGCTCCCTCCCAAGGCTGGGCAGGCAGACTGACTGGACACTGTCCACCACCCACCCTGTGAAACAACTCCCACCTGCAGGGCTCCACCCTCCGAGGCACTAACTGGAGACTTGCCTCAGGCTGTTCCAACTGCCTGCACAGACAGGTGGCCGGGCAGGGTGAGCGAGCACCCCCCCACATCTTTACTGGGGCCATGGCAGCCCAGGACTTGGCCTGCAAGTCTCAGCCCAGCGAGGTCCCTCCCTCCAGGCAGCTCTCTGCACTGTGCCAGAGACTGGGGCCTGCAGTGGGACCCCCAGAACCATCCTCCACTTCCCTGGTGTACCTGTTGGCTGCTGAGCCAGACAGGAGTTCTGTGAGCAGGCAGCACCTCCATGTCCCTTTCTGCACCTGGGTCTGGCATGCCCGTGGCCTGACTGGGACTTGCGGAATGCATACAGATGGCAACATGGCCACCCTCCCACACCCAAGCCCGCTCCCACCCCAAAGCAAACAGGTTCCTCAGGAGAAGTGGACCAGGACACAGCAGGCCCCTTGGAGGGCACCCCCAGGAGCCCTGACTTCTGGTCTCCCCCTCACCCTTCTCTGAGACCCTAGCCCACATCTCAGCTCTGTGCCGGGGGCCACACTGCAGTCTGGCTGCTGGCCCGCATCCTGGCAGGGGGGGAGCACTGCCGCTCTCCCAGAGCCGCCCCCACCCTCCCAGCACAGCTGTGTGCCACAGGGCGGGCCTCTGGGGGGCCGAGGAGGAAGGACACCAAGGTCCCCCGAGACACAGATGGGACGAGAACTTCCTCTTGCAGCCACAGCCCTAGAGCCAGCCCCGTGCGGGCTGCAGGCCTGAGCGCCGGTCGGGAGACCCAGAGCATGCGCTCTGCCATCTGCTGGCAGCGCCTGTCACCGGCGCCAGGCTCCGACGCTGGGGGGCCGCCCCAGGACAGCACGAACAGGCCAGGGAGGACGGCAGCCTCCTCTTCCCATCCCCTGCCCCCGGCACTGACCCTGGACTAGCTCAGCCATAGGCAGAGGCTGAGGGAAGGCGCCCTCCTGCTGCTCCAGCCACCCAGACCTCCACACTCAAGACTCCAGGAGATCCCTGCCAGCCATGGCAGCAGCAGATGTGCAGAGGGGCCACAGCCTCCCCAGTAGGCTTCCCCAACTTTCCCAGTCAGACCAGACCGGCTCTGACCAAAGGCCTTGGCCCCTCAGCTGCAGGGCGGGGGCTGGCAGTCACCTGAGGCCACCCCAAACAGCCCCGACCTGCTCTAGAGGGAGGGCAGGAACATGGGCGAGGGAGCAGATGGGGCCCAGGAATGCAGCTGGCTCAGCACGGTCAGGACTCGAGGAAGCCCTGGGATGGAAGGTCTTCTCAGATGCTTCAAGGAGTGGACAGGAGGCTGCCCCCAGCACCGGAACATATCCAGCCCCTCGCCCCCAGCAGACACTCACATGGCCACCTGTCAGGTTAAGTGTCTCTCCTGCTCCCAAAGACACACCCCAGGCACTGGCCACATGGTGTTAAGTCAGCTGACTAGGGTCGGGGCCCCTGGGGCCAGCGGCTGGACACAGGTGGTCTGTCTGGCCCCTGTGATGTCCTCAGAGCCAGGGTGAAGGTCTTTGGTGAAGGAGCTCCCCCAAATCACCAGGGAGGAGCCCACACTCTCTGAGATGAAAACAGGGGTCCGGTCCAGCCCTGTCCCCACCCTCCTGCCTGGAGAGGTCTGCCAGGTGGTAACCCTGACACCAGAATGCTCCCTCGGGTGGGACTCCTGTACCCAGGCCCTGCATCCAGAAGCTCCGGACAGGACATCCAGATCCAGGCCGAGAACGAGGCTTTCACCACTCCCACCCCTCCACTGATCCCAGAAGACCCAGCACCACTGCCCTGACGTCCTAGGCCTGAGGGCACACAGGGGCCCTCCACCTCCCAGAGGCGCCCACTGCGTCTGTGCCTACAGTGTCGACACCTGCCGCTTGTCATGGGCGAGACACCACCATTTCCCGGACCTCCTGTGTGAGTGGCGTCACATGTGTGTCCCCTCATGCTCAGTATCCTGGAAAGTCTGGTGGCTCATCACATCTCCAGATGAGGACACTGAGGTGCTGAGCCAAAGACTAGCCCCAGGTCACAGCTACTAGGTGGCAAAGCAGGGACCTGTGGCCCCAAGGTTCTCCTCTGCTTCAGGCTTCCCCACACAGCCTGGCTCTGCCCTCAGCGCCATGGCCAGGGTCCCAGCCTTCGGGCTTGTTCCTCACAGGGATGGACAAGTCCTGCCGAGAGAGGCCCTGAGGCTGGATGACCAGCTCCAACCCCAGAATGCAGGGTTCCATGGTCCCCCATCACTTTTGCAGTGGACATCCTTGAAATCATTCCTTCCTGCCACTCAGAGTGAGCAGGCCCTGGGGGCTCCAGCCTTCTCCCCTGTCCTGCCCAAAGACCACACACACCAGGGGTGTCCCCCTACCTGTCATAGCCAGCTGGTCACGGAGCCCTCCCAGTCTCCTCTGGCCACCCCAACTGCCCACCCCTGCTGCCACAGCGGTCAGCACGTCTCGCCTTGGCCTCTGCCTGTGGCCTCCACCTCCCCGGGCCCTTCCCACATCACCCTCGTCATCTGCACACCGGCTCTGCCCCTGCAGCTCCTGCACTGGCCCCTGGCCTGGGGCCCCTCAACCCGGGGCTGCCGCCCACCGGCCTTGCTTCCCTGGATCCCGTTGGCTGCTCTCCTCGGAGAACAGGCATGGCCTCCTCACACCCCCCACACGTGGCTTGGCACAAACAGCCCCCTGCTCGGACCTGCACCACACAGGCAGCAAGCCTGCCTCCTGCGGACTGGGGGCCTGGGGGACGAAGACGGCCAGGTCCCGGCCCCGGGAACTCCCTCCGTGGAGGGAGGGACATGCAGACAAGCGGCAGCTGAGGAGGGGCAAGTGCCAAGCGAGAGGGGGCTGGACGGTGACAGGGCTACGCCGACAGGAAGCAGAACAGCCCGCGGGCGGGACCCCACCCCACATCAGACTCAAGGGTCGGGCCTGGCCTGCCCACACAGCCATCCCCGCCTCCGCCAAGGACACACACTGCCCCTCACTGGGCAGGCGGGATCCGAGCACACGGGCCAGCTCCGGTGGGCCACCCACTGCCGGGGCTCAGACCAGGCACTTGGCCTCTGTCCTGGCACTGCCCCACAGATGGGGGAGGAAGCAGGGAAACCTCGGCGGGCTGCCGGGAGGAAGCAGCGGGATCACGCACGCAAGGCGCTGTGCGGGGCCTGGCACACCGAGCACGCTGCCCAGAGCCGCGCTCCCCGCGGCGGCTGCTGATGTCACCGTCAGGCTGCTTCCTGCGACCGCCCGGGCTGACGGGCTCTCGACGCCGGCCTCCCGGACTCGGGCGCCAGTGCCCCACTCGGCGCCTGGGCTGCGGGCCTGCGGACGGCAGGCCTCACGCCAGGAGTGCCCTTCTCTCCGCCCCACTTTGCCCCCGAAGCCCTCTCAGAGACCTCTTGGCGAGGCAGCCCCGGGCCCCCACGCCCTCTTCTGCGTCCCACCAAGCCGTCCGGCCCGGAGGCCCCGCACAGGGCCTGAGTCTTCAGACCGCGGGCACCGGGGGTCGGGAGGGGGCTGCAAGAGGACAGTCCGCTCCCCGCGGAGGCAGAGCCACCCGGCAGCCGACCAGGGTGGCCAGAGCCCACCCCACGCACGGGCAGCCGGAGGCCGGGCCACCCCGGGGCTCTCCCACCTCCCAGGCCCACGCCGACGTGCCTCCGACCGGGTTCTGCCCTGAGCGGGGTGGGCAGGCCCGCCCTGTCGCCACTGGGTGCACCTCGGGGAGGCCGCCGCTCCCCACGCCGGGCCCGGGCCCGGACCCAGGCAGGTGCCCTAGACGACGCTCGCCCTGGCCCCGCCGGCCCTGGCCCCCGCCCCGACCCTCAGCGTCAGCTCGCGGCCCCGGTCCCCGGTCCTCGGCCCTCAGCGCTCGGCCGCGGGCCCGGCACTCACCTCGCGGGTGCGGCCCGAACGCCACCAGCACGAAGTAGTCCGCGAGCCGCGCCATGGCGAGGGGCGCGGGCGGGCTCCGCGGCTCCGGGACGCGAGGGCGGCACGCTCATGGCCCGGCCCCGGCCCCGGCCAGCGCTGCCCGGCCTCCCTGGGCCCGCTCCGCCGCGACGGCCAGGGCTGCCGGCGCCATCTTCCCAGCCAGCCGGCCCGCCCGGCCGCACCGTGCGCCTGCGCGGCTCGCCCCGCCTCCCGTGGGCGGGGCCCGGGCGGCGCGCCCCGATTGGCGCCCCCGGCGCGGGCTAGGGGTGGGTGGGGCCGGTAACGGCGGCTCGCGCGGGCCTGCGGCCGGTGCGTGGGGTCCCTGTCGCGCGCTCGCGATTCCTACAGCGGGAGGCGGGGCGGGCCCCGCCGCTGGGCTCCAGTCCGGGGCTTGGCGCGGTCGGTGTGGAGGAGGCTGGAGGGCCCCGGCCCCTTCCCACAGGTGTCCCGGCTAGGGGTCCGCCAGCCCGGCCACGCGGGAGGACCCAGGCGCCCCCTGGGGGTGTGCAGCGTGCGGAGGGACCCCTCGCGGAAGCCCCAGCCAGCGCGGGGTGGACAGCAGGGAGGAGACGGCGCCTCTGGGCGCCCGTGGCCCGCTGGGCTGTGTTTGGGTGCTCGTGCTGTTGCAGAAACCTACGAGGGAACGAAGTGCTGCGCTCCACGGCGCGCCGCCTTGCAGGAGCCAGCCAGAGATGGAGGGGACCAAGCCGGAGACAAGGCCCCGCAAGCGTCTGTTTCTGTTGGGTTCGGGGTGCAAAGGCTGAGAAAACTTCCTTTGGCCCTAGCTGGCTTGAGTTGGTTTCTGTCACTTCTCCCCAAAAGTGCCCTCTCCGCCACACTGCTGCACCTGTGAGCTTGTGGGCAGGCAGCGTCCCTGGCAAGTCCTCTGGCTGGGCATCTGAGCCCAGCTCTGCTCTCCAGAGCCTGTGGGGACCTTGCTCCCTCCCACCTCCCACCCATTCCTTGCAGCCCTTTCAGAGACTCCTTAGTGCCAAGACTAGGTTCGTGTGCTGTCTACACCACACACCCTCCACCCAAGCTTCCTGCCACTGAGATTCCCGCCCACCATGCTGTCCATGTCACGCTCCTGCTGGTCCCTCCCCTCTGAAGGGCCGCCTTCTCTAGTCTTCACCTTCCTGCAGGGGGCCTTCCCTCTCCCACCCCGTGGGCCCCTGGGCTGCCTCCTTCCGACCTTTTATCCCACCCAGTGTGGCTCCCATCACCTGTCGTCCCCCGTGTCGTCGGCCCTACCTCTCTTACTTTGTTCTCACTGCCCCCATCTGACAAACCCCAGCGGTGCACCAGTGCTGCCTCCCCTCCGGGCCTGCACCCCCAGGGAGTGCAGAGTGGTCCCCGGGACAGCGCTGCCCAGCCACAGTGGACGCTTCCCCGCCCCCCGCATAGCCTGCTCACACATGGTCAGCTCTCTTCTGCCCTGTAGTCTCCCCAAGCCTCTGACCCCACTCTTGTGTCTCAGGGGTGAGCCCACTGCCCCTCCTGCAGAGAACCATCAGGTGGGAGGCCTTGTGTTGCATCACCAAGCTGCAAGCTGCCTCCCGCACACCCCACCTGCTCCTCCCACACTGAGGGCGGAGGCCTCCCCACCTCCCATGTGCCCTATCCATGCCCCGTACCCTCAGTCTTTCCCTCTCAATGGATTCTTGTCAGGATTAAACTCGATCTCTCCCACCCTAAAACACTCAGGCAAACCAGCCAAGCGTCATTCTAGCTTTTCTTGGCCTGCATGAATTTCTCTATAGCATTCCTCCAATGTCGCCAGCACCATCCACTCGTTTGGGGCATTTCCGTAGGTGAGCCAGCCCACGTCACTCCCCAGAAGCAGCTTCTCCGACTGAGAATACACGAAGGGCACCCTTGGGTTCCCCTCAGAGGCATGAGGACCGTTATAGACAAGTGCCGTGAGACAGGCTGTGCAAGAACGTGTGGGGTCACACAGGGGCCTCCGATCCATCCCGGAGCGGCAGGGGCAGGACAAGCAGCCAGTCTGAGGCGTGCGGGCCAGAGCGCATGCCACCCATGGGCTTCTGGGGCTGTGGGACCACAGTCCCAGGAGGGCAGCAAGTGCCCTGAGAGAAAGGAGCCGGTCAGCTGCCTTCCCTGGCCACAGACCTCACGGAGGCTTAGCTCCACCTGTCCCAGGTTAGACTCTCATGGGGATGGAAAATCTTTATTTTCTCTTTATTGGTGAGTATTGTCACATTTACATTTTGGAAAGATGGTCCTGGCAGCAGCATGGGAGACAGACTTGGGGAATGAGCGGGGAGGAGTAGCAGCTGCAGAATCAGGTCAGTCTCTGGGGTCCCCTGCTGGCTCCCCTTCCCTTGTTTTCCTTCAGAGCCAGCACACAGAGTTCTGTCCCCTTTCTGCACCCACTTCCGATGATGCTCACCACACCCTTCACCTGCCAAAGCCTTGCAAACTGTGAAACTCCCCAAACTGCCCCAGGCCTGCCCTCTTCAGACCCAGGCCCCCAGCAGGGCTGAGGCGCTGGTTCCCTCTGCATCCCTGCAGCTAGCTCCTCCCCTCTCTCCCCAGGGACTCCCCGCATCAGCAAACAAGAGCCCACCATCCTTGTCTGCCTCTCAGTCCCGCGCAGCTTCCCTCGACACTGTCCACTCTGTCCCCACGGCACCCCTCCTGCCAGCCCCTGAGCTCTCACCTCCTGCACTCCTGGGGCAGATGTGGGTGGGTGAGGCACCTGGCCCTAGAGGTGGGTTGGGACCCTGTCTGGCCGATTTAACCCTGCAGCACCCACTCCTTCAGCCTAGAAGGTTTTACCCCCACCAGGTTCAGGGACAACGTGTCCCACCAGAAGGGACAGAAGGCAAGGCTGGTAGCCCCCAGGTCCCTGATTAGTCACAGAGCACTTCCCAGTGGGCTGACCCTGTCAGGCGCCCCTGCCCTACATGCCCAGAGCTACCCAGCGGAGGGCAGGACTGGGGAGGAGGGCCAGCCATTGCTTCTGACTCCGCCCCCTCCTGGAAAGGCTACTTAGCTCTGGAGAAGCCAGCGCCACCATTCCAAGCAAGACCCGGATGATACTGACCCAGGGGATCCCGGGCACAGCTGGACACAGGCCAGCCTGGCTCTGCCAAGACCTCAGACTCCCCTGCCACTTGGCACCCGAGACCCTCTCACCAAAGGACACAGGACCAGCCTGCCTGTTCCCTCACCCGTGCCCCTTGCCCACACCTCGCACCGAGGGCCCCCCCGAGGTGAAGGCTGAAGGGGTGGCTCAAGGCTAGGGCCCCCACACCTGCCCGGCTGGCTGCCCCCTCCAGCCCCGCCCACATGGCCCAACTCCTGACTGCCACCCTCACCCTCGGTTGCATCAGCCTCCTCTACCTGCAGCTTCCAGGCGCGCTGTCCTGCTGCCTGGGGAGCCGGCAGCCCGCCCGACCCAGGTGAGTGCGGCTTGGATCTTCCCAACCCCTGCTTCACCAGGCAGGAAACCAGGATGCCTGGGAGGTTCCCTCAGTCCCTCCTGCTTCTGTCCCCACCTTCTGCTGTTAGGGAAGCCCCCCATCTGCTGCTAAGGCTCACCCCCTAAATCAAGGGGGACCCCCAATGCCTTCAGCAACCCTGAGCAGGGCAAGAGGCCTCTCTTTGCCTCTCTTCCTAAGGCACTCCTCTTCCCCCTTATTGGCAGAGCAGCCCCCTCAACAGGGGAGGTCAGTAGGAGGGATCCCCAGGCCTCCCCATGCCCCTACGCACCACCCTAAGGAAAGGGCTGAAGGGGGAAGACTGAGCACGGTATCCCACGGAGGCCAGGGGTACCCTTTGCCCAGAGCGTTCAGGTGAATGGGTATGTGACGGGCTACTCATCTGGCTGAGGGCCAGGACCCAATTGCTGAGCTCAAGGGGCTGTGGGCTTCCCCTGGCAGTGCTGCAGTCTGGGTGAGGGGTGGGGCCGGGCTGTGGGCCCTCCTGGCCTGCTGGGTAATGGTATGAGGGCCATGGGCTCTGCTGGTAGTGCTCTAGGCTGTTGGGGAAGCTGTAGGCTCCCCCTGGCAGTGACCCCAGGCCTGTGTGGAGGGGAAAGTGAGTGGGTTTAAGGTTCCTGATAGGCTGGGCCATCGGGTTCACTTCCTCCATCTCCCTCTGCAGGGAGTCCTCAGCTCGGACCTCTTCCAGTGGCCTGCAGCCCCCGCTTGTGGTCTGGAAGCTACGCCAGGCCCTCCAGCCACGGAGGAGCACCAGGCTATCCCCCGTGTTGGGTCGGCCTCTCCGGGATGGCCCCAACCAACGCTCGGGCTCCCACAAGCCCCGAGCCCAGCTTCTGCGGGTGGGCTGCGTGCTGGGCACCTGCCAGGTGCAGAACCTCAGCCACCGCCTGTGGCAGCTCGTTGGGTCAGCCGGCCCACGAGACTCGGCCCCTGTGGACCCCAGAAGCCCCCACAGCTATGGCTGAGGTGGGGCAGGCCCTGCCTCTGTCTGTCCCAGCCGAGAGGCTGCACCTCAGTCCCAGATCCGTAGCTGGGCCTCCAGCCTGCCCAGCCCCCAGAGCTCCTGGCAAAGAAGTGACTGCAGCAGTGGTGCAGGCCTCTGAGGAGAAACCCCTCACTTTCCACACCCACCAGGTCCCGCAGCCAACCTTGGACTGCTTTGGACGTATAAATTCAGGCACCTCCAGGCATATGTGCAGGCAGAATTCATATACCCAGAAATGTCCAAGCTCAGGGGATAGGTGCTAAGCAGGAGTGGCTGGCAGCCATGGATGCCCAACAGTGCTTCAGAGGGGAGGGGTCTGTCCAAGCACATGGAGCAGAAGCTCAACACCCAGGGGGACACCTCTGGGATGCAGGAACAGGGCCAAGTCGGCCCAGAGTGGCCCCTTTCCTGCTGGTCCTGACATAGTTAGATCAGAGCCTGGCTTGGCCTGCCCCAGGTCCCCCATCTTCCCTACCCCGTGCCCTTGAGACTGGGAGGAGCAGGCAGCTGGCCCACTGTGGTCTGGGGCTGGGGTGAGAGACAGGCTGTGTTGATACCTATGTGGCTCCCTCAAGGAGTATGGGGATGTGAGGGTTCCACAAGCAGCCACAGGGTCCCTCAACCTCGCCCTGCGTAGTGGGGGCTCAGCAGAGGGAAGTGTTTGGGCAGCAGGTGTGAGCAGCAGGTGTGAGCAGGCTTTCCCAAGAGGGCTGGAATGGCCAGGAGAGCCGGGTCTGCAGCCAGCTGCATGGGGCTCACCGTGTGTCTGCCCCAGGTGGGTCTTTACACAGTCCTGCCGAATGGATGCCAGGCCACACGAGCCTGACCCAGGGTTCAGAAGGGTGGTTTCTGTTAGTCAGCGAACCCTCCTGTAGCACTTGACTCGCCAGTGCTTGTCTGCGCTGCCCTCTCTGACAGCTAGTGAGGGGCACTGTCATTGACCCAGCACAGAGGCCAGGGATGTGCCCACAGTCACTGCACCATCCACCCAGAGCCTGGGCTTGGGTCACAAGCAGCCTGCCAGCAGACTCCCAAGTATGCGAGAGTCCTGGAAGCACCCATCTGGCTCCCACCTTTGTGCCTGCCCTTCCAGCTCAGGGACATGCCCTCCGCTAGACCCTGTGGGAACAGTTCAGGCTGGTCCCTGCCCTGGAACCACAATGCAGGGCAGTCAGTGTCGTGAAGATTGAGCAGAGCAGGCCGGGAAGGCTACCTGCAGGAAGTGGAGATCTGAGGACAGCAGCAGTCCCAGAGGGAGCAGCAGAAACACCACAGCCTCCAGGCCACAGGATGGGTGGGCAAGGCTGGGAGAGGTGCCCGAAAGCAGCTGAGAGGCTGGAACCAGCGCCAGAGTGCGGGCCTGTGGTCACTGAAGGGTGTCAGCAGAGGCAGGCAGGGAGGGCGGGCGGGCAGAGAATGAGGAAGAGAAGGGCCCGGGAGGCCCTCCCAGTCCTGGGGTGAGGGGGCTACCTGACGCACACACACTCCTGCTCCCACCGAAACCCCTCCTTCACCCCTTCCCAACCCTACCACAGTCCCAGCCGCCACCTGCTTTTAGGGTAATGGCTCCAGCCTCCTCCCTGAAGCCCCCTCTCCATCCCTCCAGCAACTGCTTGCTGAGCAGGTAGGGAAGACAGGAAGGACCGAGCAGGGCCCTGAGCGCCAGCCGTCCAGGTGGGAGGGGACAGAAGAGAGGGAGCCCTAAGGCAGGGTGCCTGGGCTGGAGCCCTGAAGGCTGCACTTTGATGTTTTGAATGGGGGATCCCAGCGCCCCTCAGTTTATTCTCAGCAAGCGCAGGGGGTCACGGCAGGAGCAGCCCCCCAACAGGCTCCCGGCCACACAGCGAGGGCGAGTAAGTGTTCCGGCTTGTGCGCCCTAGAGGTGTGTCCCCAGTACCTCCCACTTGGACCACTGCCCCCTTCCCGCTCCCAGACTTTACCCTGAGCACACTCAGCACCCGTCTTTCTGCAGAACGCTGGCCTCTTTCCAATATGAGACAGTGACTCGTTTGCTTTCTGTCTGCCTCCCCCTTGAAGAATGTCAGCTCCCAGCAGGATGTCTGGCAGTTAGGTCCTTGGCTGCTGGGCTCACCTCTGCCCTAGTGAGATGGAGCCCCTCACCCCCAGAGCCCCTTGGCCAGACTTCAGTCAGTCTCTCCTTAGCCCTGTGCACAGGCCTCCCCAGTATCAGCAGGAATCCCCACTCTTGAGATCTGATCAGACCCTCATCTCCACCCTTGAAATCTGGTCAACTCCTCATCCCCACCCTTGAGAGCTGATCAAGTCCCGTCCCCACCCTTAAGATCTGACCCTCCTGCCTGCCTTCAGTAAGAATCCTGTCAAGTCTGTTCTGCAAGAATTCCCAACCCTACGTGTCTCCTTGTAGCAGTTTCCCACCCACCGGTGACTCTGCTCTTTGGGGATCATCACAGCTGCCTCTGCTGTATTCAGAATGGAGCCCAGTCTCTTTCCCCTATTGGAACGGTTTTGAATAAAGTCTTCCTTCCTATTTTAGCAAATGTCTGAGCACCTATTTCTTCATTAAGCCCACTCCACCCTCTACCCCTACCTCCCCACCCCCCAGCAGAATCCCAGGTGCCTGAGGATATTGGGATGGGCCCTGGGGTCTGCACCACCTGTTGGGAGGGGCCTAGGGTGGTTGTTTAATGCTCGAGGTGCTCTGGGGCAGAGCAGACCTAACTGCTAGAGAGCTGCTTCCATCTCCTGAGTCCTGGCGGGTCAGCTGCTCAGGTAGGCTGAAGTCAGGGCGAAGGGGGCTGGGGGCCCTTCCTGTGCTGACACATTAACCTGCTGAGGCCGGGAGGACGGCGGATGGTCACTCATTACCGAGGGCCAAGGCCAAGGGGCTGGGTGGCGCCGGGTCACTTATGTAACCTGTGCGCATATATAGGGGTACACAGGCCTGAGGACCTGCCCACCTGCCGGCTCTGCACGGCCTCAGGATGGAGGTGATCGTGGTGAGTACCCAGACCCAGTGCACAAGTGGCCCTGCTGATTGCTCACCCAGCGGCCAGCTAGCCCTCATGGAAAGTAGGGGCAGCCCCCTGCCCTCTCCCAGCAGGTTCCTGCCGGTCTGCTCACCCGGTCAAAGGGCTCCCTCCTTCCTGCTGTGGTTTAGCTGGGGTAAGGGTCAACAGCACCCCCACCCACAGACTCCCGAGTCCTGAAAAGGACCTGGGGGTGGGGGTGCTGTGCACTCCCACGTGGTGTCCCTGTACCTGCATGTCTCTCTGGAAGCAGGTGACCAGACTAGGCCACAGGCAACGCTGGTGCAGGGGCCAGACATCTGCTGGGAGGGCTGTGCCTGGGGGTGCCCACACTGGGCTGCTGGCCCATCTCTTGAGTCCGATGCCCCTCGGGGTGTCCTTGCTTTCTCATGGAGATGGCATCATGCTGATGGCTCCAATCCCCTCCCAACCAGGGCCCAGACCCTTCCCTGGTCTACCGGCCTGATGTGGACCCAGAGAGAGCCAAAGAGAAGGGCAGCTTCCGTGACTACACTGTGAGGACCCCGACCCCCACCCTGTGCTGCCCCCAGCCCCACCCTTTCCTGGAGAGGCAGCACAGCCCTTGGCACATGTTGGGGGGCACCCTTGGGGAAGCCCACATGCACACCAGTGGGGCCAGGCTTGGGAGACGGGAGGTGGCGGGCCCCTGGCTGTGCAGCTGCCCGGTTGACCCTACGGCTTGCAGTCCGGCCCGCTCCTGGACCGCGTCTTCACCACCTACAAGCTCATGCATACTTGGCAGACTGTGGACTTCGTCAGGAAGAAGGTACCTGACCGACTCCTTTACCGCAGCTCTGAGGGTGGGGCCACCCTCCCCCACCCCAGCACCAAGTGGATGGAGAGGCGCTGGGCCTTGCCAACCTGTGCCCATGATGATCTCTCCCCTCCTGACCCAGCACGCCCAGTTTGGGGGCTTTTCCTACAAGAAAATGACTGTCCTGGAGGCTGTGGACATGCTGAATGGGCTGGTGGATGAGTCAGACCCAGATGTGGACTTCCCCAACTCTTTCCATGCCTTCCAGACTGCAGAGGGCATCCGGAAAGCCCACCCTGACAAGGGTGCGCCCCCCCCCCCAGCCTGCCCTGGGGTGTGGTGGGGGCCCTGCCCCCTAGCCCCTGCGCCCCCCACAGTCTGCCCTGCTCTCTCCTTCCCAGACTGGTTCCACCTTGTGGGGCTCCTGCATGACCTGGGGAAGGTCCTGGCTCTGGCAGGGGAGCCCCAGGTAAGTACAGAGGTGGAGGGGGGTCAGCAAGATGGGGCTGGGGCAGGCCAGTCACACCCACCTGTGGCCCCTGGTCCCTCCCCAGTGGGCAGTCGTTGGAGACACCTTTCCGGTCGGCTGCCGTCCCCAGGCCTCCGTGGTTTTCTGTGACTCCACCTTCCAGGACAACCCCGACCTCCAGGATCCTCGATACAGGTGCCCCTCCCCCATGGCTACCCCCCCCCCACCGCCGGCTGCTCCTGGCCCCCTCACCTTCTGCCTCTCCCTGCAGCACAGAGCTCGGCATGTATCAGCCACACTGCGGGCTCAGGAACGTGCTGATGTCGTGGGGCCATGACGGTGAGGCGAGTTAGACTGGGACAACAGGGACTGCGGTGGGGCCGCCCCACCCCGTGCCACATGGTGACCCCTCTCTCCCGCAGAGTACATGTACCAGGTGATGAAGTTCAACAAATTCTCCCTCCCTCAAGAGGTAGGTGGGGGAAGGGGCCTGGCCGAGGGCCCTGCCCAGCTCTGTCCAGCCTGCAGGGTGGCTTCCTCCTGCCCCAGGCCTTCTACATGATCCGATTCCACTCCTTCTACCCGTGGCACACGGGCGGCGACTACATGCAGCTCTGCAGCGAGCAGGACCTGGCCATCCTGCCCTGGGTGCAGGAGTTCAAGTAGGGCCCTGCCTTGGGGGTGGGGTGGTAGGGCAGGGAGGAAGGACTGGAGTCCTGAGCTCCTTCACAAGGCACTGCCCCTCCCCTGCTGCAGCAAGTTTGACCTCTACACCAAGTGCCCCGACCTGCCGGACGTGGATGAGCTGCGGCCCTACTACCAGGGCCTCATCGACAAGTACTGCCCTGGTGTCCTGAGCTGGTGACCAGCCTGCCTGCCTGGCCCAGGCCAGGCCCACTGCCCCAGTGTGACAGCCCTGTCAGCACAGTGATGAGCCGTCCCCCAGCCTTGCTGGGAGACCCCATAGCCCTCTTACGGCCAGCACTGGCCGCTCTGGCAGCCTCTCTGCCCAGTGACAATAAAGGCCTTGAAGCAGCCTGAGTCTGACCCTCATGGGGCTGTGGCCTCTCGGACATGGTGTCTCACTGCGCCTCCTGCCATGAACATCTTCTCGTCCCCCAGATCCAGTGTCAGACCCCGGGGTTGCCCTACACGCCCACGATCACCAGGTTCTCCAGATTCATGTGCCTTAAAAAGCCAAACTGAGCCAAACCCCTGACAGCTGGAAGAACCCAGAGCAGAAAGTTGCCTGTGACCAGCGGGCCAGGGGCTGAGGAGGCGGCCCACCAGTAGATGCCCAGGGCCCTCCTGAGGTGCTGCCCCATCTTGGCTTGGCCAGTCGCCTCCCTTCCCTGGGGTTTCATCCCCAAGTGTGGACCTTTGCAGCTCCAGGTGAGCGCCGACTCCCTCTCTGCCTCTAGTGGTTTATTTATTGGAAGAAAATGGATCTTTTGTCTCAGAATTCCTTTCTGTGGGAATCTGCTGATGGCATCCCAATGGTCTCTGTTAATATTTTCCTTGGTACTTCCTGCTAATTGGCAAGTGAATTTAGAGACTTAATCAGATTCGGGTTTGGCTTCTTGCGGGCGAGAGCATGTTAGAGGTGGCGCCTGTTCCTCAGGAGGCAGAGGCTGTCCTGTGTTGCTGGAACATCCCTGACCTGCTGAGCACAGGGCTCTGCCCGCCCCTCCTCCCTCAGGTTCCCTGAGGGCCCCGCTGGACAGAAGCTGCCTCCTAGCCTCTCTGGGCGCTGTTGGATTAGGAAAGGCAAGTAAAACCCCAGGTTTTCTCCTAATTTACCATTTGCAAGGGTTGTTTCCCTAGCACCCTTCAAAGGTGATCGACTTACCTGCATTTATTTGTATTAAGAACAAACAGATTTGAGTGTCTTTGTGCTCCAGCTCATTGAAGTATTCTCAGCAGCGCTCAGCTGTTGCGTCCCCAGCTGGTGTGTGGGGCTTCCGGATGGGCTCCTGGGTCCCTCTGGCATGGCCACAGGCCTGTGCTGGATGTCCCGCCCCCTGGGGTGACAAGACACCCAGGCTGCTAACTTCCTGTGTCAGCAGTAACGTTACCACAAACTGGGGGGCTTGAGACAATAGAAGTGTATTCTCCCAAGTTCTGGGAGCCAGAGCGCCTGGGATCCAGGGGTGGGCAGGGTGAGCCCCGCCGGGGCCCCTTCCTGCCTCTCCCAGCTGCACATGCCCGCCGGCATCTCTGTACCCTGTCTACACCCCTCCACCTCTAATAAAGATGTTGTGATGGCCTTTAGGGCCCACGCAGATAATCCAGGATGACCTCCTCATCTCAGGATACTCAGTCATATCTGCAAGATGCTTTTCCCAAATAAGGTCACATTCACAAAATATGGAAAGCTTTTGGGGGCCCATATTTTAGCTTGCCACGGAGATGGCCCCAGACCTGCAACTGGCCATTTCTCCTGAGGCCCTGCTTTCTCTGAATGGGAAAAGGTATTTCAAATCCCCATGAAGGGGGCTGAGGGTGCGGGCACCTCTTGAACGTCCACCAGCCCCTGGTTGTGGCCACCAGACTTGGCACTGCCCACTGCCCTCCTCCCTGCTGCTCAGGCTGCTGCACGGCCCAGTCCCACCGTCTGGCCCACACGCCTCCTGGCCCTCCCTGGGCACCCCAGCCCCTGCTGTGTGCTGGCATCAGGAAGGGACAGGCTTGGGTGTGTTTTGGAGACTCTGCTCAAGCTCTTCCTGTTCCCTTGTTCCTTGCACCCGGAAAACTCGTACCTGACCTGGGCCCCCTCACACCATCCCCAGGCAGCCCCCCAAGCACAGGCAGCCTCCTCCTGCACCACCCGCCCACAGGCTGTGAGCTGGAGCAGTGCCGCTGGGGTCCCTCCCTGGAGTCGCCCGTGGGGAGTAGGGGCAACGGTGAGGCCAAGTGGAGGGGTCCTGGGCACGGCCGTGAGGGGCATGCCACAGGGTGGACGGCCTCTCTGCCTCCTCAGAGGAGACTGGTGGGGGGAAGAGGGGCGTGATCCCAGGGCTGGGGAAGGGGGCTGTTGGGTGGGCAGCCCTCGGTGTCCGAAGTCACCATCCCAATGCCACCCTGGGATCCCCCACAGGGCGAAGCGCGTGTGCTTGCCTTTGCCCCTGTCCCAGCCAGAATCTGTTTGCCCTTCCAGAAAGGACCCGGGCTGGGAGGGGAGCAGACCCTGTCTTCCTGTCCACCCGGGGGACTGCCAGGCCTCCCAGCGGCCCTAGGCTTTGGGAGCTGAGGGCTCCCCAGAAGAGGGGGGGCTTGGCTCCACCTGCAGCCTGCTCTGCTGTGCCACCTCCCTGACCCTGTGCCTCCCGGCCCTGCCGGCTACTCCCGTGACTCTGGCAGCAGCCCCTGCTTCCCACCTACTT